CATATATCCTAGTCCCATAATAATAGTCCAATTGTTGGTCAGAGGAATGATGCTTGTAGGTACTATTATTCCTGAAATATTGAGGACCTAAAGTTTTTGGGTCAATGGCCAAAATCAAGAGAACTATAGATAAGGTTGGAAAAATCGTTAGATACTTGATGTGGCCCATCAAATTTTATCGACAATTTAGAAGTTTCAGGTCTCTAACTGTTACAGACACGAAATGCGACACGTTTAAATTAAAATCGAACTGATCTGTTTTTCAGAAACGGGAAGTTTTATTCCTTGAAATAAGTGCCTTGTCTGATTAATCATCAAAATGGACATCAGTAAAATGGGCTTTCATGAAAAAATCTTTTACCATAATGGAATAAAACGCGATCAAAGTTTCAAGTTTGGACTCGATTTTCTCGAAAACTGTTGATCGAAGAAACTTTTTAAAACCATTAATGGACTCAGTTTTCATGTCCTTACAATTGAGCATCAATACGACAATTGTGTTAACTGTCTCTTTTCAGTAAAACATCTTCCACTCTTCTTGGTTAATTGTTTAGTTTTCTGGTTGTTTTGGGTTCTTCTAAATGAAATGATTTGAAGCTGTTGAAGACTGTGTTATGTTTTTGGAGACTCGAAGTCTTAAATCAATCTGTTTGTTGTTAGTTCTGAACTAAATTAATAATCGATGATCTCAGAAGCATCTTGACATAATTTTGATTAAGCAGCCTTTCTATTTAGCTAGTCGGGACTATTAACTATTCACAAGAATACGTCTTTTTCCAGATAATTAAAATCTATTAATAATAAGCTTAACTGACCTTATTCTTCGTCTTGGATCCCCTAGCAGAGTATCTGGAAAGGTACACAATGTCCTTAATTGTGTTTCGAAGCGAGAACATTGATTGTAACCTGTTCACAGAGATGATGATTATGATTTAAAGGCACGAAGGCGCGTTCATATTGGACATTCAAATTGAATTTAATTGAATAGTGCTATTAAGCACTAATGGATTCAGATTTTATGTCCTCATAAACTAACAGAGTCTAAACTTGAACGGAATCAATTTTTACCCGTTTTCACCAATTTGTGTCAATTTGTGCATTTCGATAATTTTGTTTCGTCTTTGCAATAACACCTTAAAAGACAAACCATAAATATTGATTGAGCCAAACTTACCTTGATTGTTCTGGACACAAGTAAAAGGATCAAATTATTTAATGACTACACACAGATATTCAAATGCCTCTTAAAACTTGAATAAAATAGTAATTCGTTGATTTGTATGAAGATCAAATAATCAATGTCTATTATTTTGTACAATTTACTGGATTAAGATTGTTAGACATTTTATTAAGCTATCTATTTTGATGAAAGTTCTGCTGTTGAATCAAATCTAATTAGTTGTGTAGTTTGACTTTTTTGTCTGATCTTTAGATTCATTTTACTGAAACAATTAACAAATTATTGCACAAAAAGCTCTAAAGTGGTTAATCCATTAGATGGCGCCAACCAAAATGCTACCTATCCTATTGGACTTTTAATTGTTAGATGGCGTTAGCTGAATTATTTGGCTTATTTCGCAGTCAATTTATCATCAAATTGTGTTAATGTTTATTTACTGATTTAATTGGTAGTTGCTTTTATAATTCATCAGTATGTCAGGTTACTATGGCTATCTTGGAGGTGCCATTGCACTGACAGTCTTTGCTGTCCGATATTCAAGAGGAGACTATCCAAAACAACTACCACCTGAGGTTTGTACTGTGATACTATTGTTGTCTATTCAACTTACATGATACTCTCATGATATTATTTCTAATTCTATCTTGTTTACTTTCTGTTTCTTATTCCATTTCTTTTATAGCATAAAGAAGAAGCTGCTAAATTTCAACATGCCATTCTAAGTGCCCAGCATGCTGCTAAAGCTGAAGGAGTTACTTTAAAGTCGTCGGTTTTTAAGTCCCCTCCATCAATTTGATGAAATTACATCAATCTTTATATTTTCCTCGCCAACTGTGATCAAGTCTCGGCCAAATTCGAATGTATTTTGACACATGAACTCACTTTGTTATATGAATTACTTCGATAGTAAATTCTCGTTAAACCTTTTACCCAATCACAGAAAGCTTTAAAACTTTCAATCTGCTGTTTTAACATATTGGCATAGACCTTTGGCAAATAGCAGCCATAGAGTTCGATGCCATCGATTGAAACTATGTACATTTAGTGTGTATTAGTGTACATATTTCTAGATGAGTTGAATGATAAAAATTCAATTAAAAGTAAAAAAGTAATCTCATTTTCTAATATCTCAAATTGGACTTTTATTGCAACTGGTATGATAAAATACATTCAGTAATGAACTTGAAGCAAAAGCAAAAAGTAAAAATTGCATCCCTACTCAACATAAGTAATATAATCAATAATAATACTAAATCAGTTGGATTCAAGTTATATTAGTTTCTGGATTGACATAAAAAACAATCAGCTAGTCTGAGTGTAATGTGAGAGTGTAAATTTGATGCTGAAAATAATCTTTAAGCATTTATGAAAGAACAAAAACAAGATCCTAAACGTCGGATAAATTAAGTCGGTATTACACTTTATTTCATTTATGTAAACAGTATTAAATGTAAAGATTAATGTCAATAATGATTAGTCAAAACATCGCAAATAACAGTAAATAAAATTTAAGGTAGGTGTCTATAAAGCCACTTGATGTCTCTACCAGTCATTGTTGATACAAAATCATTTCCATGAATATGTCCTATGCTGTTGATTGGCATTTCATTATAACATGTTTTCATGTTCCTTTTTTTGAATCCTGTTCATTTGATCTCTCAGTCATCATTTAATAGATCGATCTCTATTTTCTGGATCTTGTGCCGCAAAATTTTGCCCATCGCCAGTGTCCAGTGATTTTTTTGTGTCACCCAACTTAACCATGACTTTAAAAGTTGACAAAGTATTAAGAAAAAAGCTTGATCGCAATCTTGTCTGTCTGTCGCTAACTGTTTTCACTGGTCTCTTCATTTCTCTATATGCTTTATTCATAGAAATAAAACATGCCAACAATCCAAATTACAAACCGCTCTGTGATCTCGGTCAAGGTGTGAGCTGTACAGCTGCACTCTTATCCAAGTAAGTTGCATCCAAGTTTTGTTCATGTCAATCTCTTCCGTCTTTTTTTCTTCTCATGAGTATTGACATTCTGCCTGACTTGTTGATCATTATTGAATATTTATTAATTGCAAGTTTTATTCATTTAGGTATGGCAAAGGTCTTGGTTTACTGCCAGAAGATTCACTATTAAACCTACCCAATCCAGTTTATGGAATATTCACTTACACAACTCTGGTTTTGGTGACCAATTTTAGTGGAACCGATCGTTTCCTGGTTAACCTCCTTCTAATAATTTCAATCATAATTAACCTTGTTTCCTTGTACCTGGCTTACATTCTTTACTTTATTTTACACAATTTATGTGTTGTTTGTGTGGCAACTTATGTAGTTAATTTTTTCCTGCTAGTCTTCAGTATACAAAGAAAAAGACTCATACGAAAATTGACCTCACCTAAGAAAGAGTAACCTCAGAACCAATAATAAAAATAATAATCAGTCCTAAAAATACACCAAATTATATTCAATCCTTTATTGACTGCATTATGCTCATTCATACTCTATTTAATCCACAGAAATCTAGAATTCAATTTTTTTGCTCCTCAAATGAAATATTTGAACAATCATCTTGTACTCAAGTCATTCGTTGTTAATATTTATTTTTACTTACCAATGTTATTCGCAATTAAAATTTTGTTTTTCAAGGCATTGATGTTAAATAATTGTAATTTTCTTGATGTGATCCTCAAATGATTCTAGTTTCTACTCTTCGAGGCCATTATCGTCAAAACAAATTTATTCAGAGAAAACAATTCAACCAATTTTCATGGTCTCATGCTTGGATAATTAACTTACCTCAACATTTCCTTAAGGAATTTTCTCCAAGGATAATTAGTTGATTATGTCATGTGGTTAGAGAGATTAAGAAATCTTCTGTCAAAAAAGCCCGAAAATTTGAACACATGCAAACAGTTTTTCAATAACTGGATTAATTTATACAATTTGAATTTACAGATAATGCTTTTTTAATGGCAATATTTATAATGATATATGCACTGTAAGGAGCTCTTATAATGAGGTATATAGTCGAAACAATTTAGGCATTTGGCGTTGATCAATTTGCTTATTTCATTTGTTCAAGATGAGATGATAAAGTTGAAATTAATTTACAATGATTGCAATAGATGATGGACACAGAAAAAGTTAATAAAAAATAAGAAATTAGGAATCTTGTTAATTTTTAACTTGTTCAAGTATAAACCTTAAAAATTAGACTATCGTTTAAGTTGACTAAATAGTCTTGAAAGAAATAAAACAAGTTGAACATCGTTTTCACAGGGATAAGGTCTGAATAAAGGAGAAAACGAAAAGAAAATTGAAACTTAAACAGCTTTTGTACAGGATGATAGGAGATTGATACGATCAATTATCATTCCAATAAACAATAATCTTGCAGTAAATCATTCCTGGCAGGATTGGTTATAGTACATTGAGTGTAAAAATTTCAATCAACGTGGATATAGCACTTCATTAATGAGAAGTAGAACAGCACAGTTCTCTGTAACAGTTAATCGTGGTGAATTAGTTAACAGTGATGATACTGGTACAGTTGATATACCAGAATCAAATAATTATGATTATCTGGAAACTGATTTAATCGCTTGGATACCACTTCCAGTGACACTTCCTTCTTCGTAATGAATGTCTTCTTCCTTGTCTTTACGCTTATTTAAATTTGTATCCGGTCAATCTCTTCTTTCTTTTGAATGTCACTTCCATCTTGTTTTTGATTAGTTCAGGTTTTCCTCGAAAACCATTGAAGTTGGACTGAGTAGTTATGATGAAAGACACTGTCTTGAAACTATTCCGATGGTCCAATTGATTCTTTTAGTCTCAATATTGTCTTTAATCCTTTTGTTGGAATCCAAATTGGATCATTTAGTGAACTTTAGCCTGGACTAGTTGAGGGACAATCAAAGGCTGGTGCAATGGCGGTTTCAAATTTCCAGACAGGTGAAACTATTCCACAACATTCGTCTCCTTTGTGCTTTTCAACGTAATGCTTTAATTATGTCTGGAGATACCTGATAGATATCTTCATCTCTTCATTAGGTAATCAAATAATATTGTTATTAGGTATGTAATTTAAATATGGACAAGGCGTAAAGGATTTGGTTTTGGAAGTAGGTTACACAGCAAATAATATGTAATGCAGTTGTAATAATATTATTAATTGTTTGCACTTCAAATATTCTTGGATATAAGCTGATATATATATATATTTTTTCTATCGAACATTGCAAAAGAAAGCAATCGAAAAATTATTTACTTATAATACATGTTGATTTGACTACATAGTGTCAGTCACTTTTTAAGATCATTTTTTTTACAATAGCAAAATTGTCGACATGATCTAATTTGTAGGCCAAAGCTGGACAAAGATTAAGAGAAAATATAACTTTTCTCTCGAACACAGATCAAATTGTTTGTTTTTTTGAATAAATTAAAAAGAAAACAATGATTAACTCAGGGATTAATGTTTATCTCAATTAAAAGTAAAGGCGTTAACTAAGACTAGTTGTTTAACTCTAGTCTTGCTGATTTGTTTCTTTTTTTCCGAGATGATTTGATGATGTTCCCATGTCAATATACTGTTTTTATAACAAAGCAATATTGGACACTTGATTTTGAGCTCCTTTTTTTGTTGGCAAGCTTCGGATTGCTTCTTTAACTCATTGTTTAACATGATTTTTTTGATGACGGTTCATGTTTATCTGTGGCACAACACAATATCTTGCAAAATCTTGAGTGAATGGTTTCAAAGTCATTGAATAAGTTCATCAATTTTATATCATGAATTTTCCCAGATGTCCTTGTCCACATCCTCAAGAGTCACAAGACCAGAATATTCAATTGAATACAATAGAAGATATGGATTTGTTTTCCGATTCCATTTTGACGAAGTTTATAAAACATTGGTACTATACTTGAAAATGTCCATGTGTATAACATGTAGATAATATTTGGCCAAATTTAAATAATCACCTTAAATAAACAGAAGTTGTGATGGTTCACTCTTTTTGACAGTAGAGCTCTTTTAAAGACTTTAACTCTTCTATTAACGCTTTATTTTGTTGTTCCAAAACATTGACATGCTGCTCAAGGCACTTAATATATTCTTTCTTTTTTCTACGACATTCTTTTGCAGCTTCCCTTTAAATTAGAAAAGCAAGAAAAGATTTGTAAGAACGGTGATTTGAGATTAGAGACAGAACGATATAAATAGAAAATAATATCGTCATAATATACAGCAAGATTTAACTATTTACCTATTTTTTGCCAGTCGAAGTTCGCGTTTTTTTGCAGCCTCTTCAGCATTTTGACCATGAGGCGATGTAAGTGTGGTCGGAGATGTCATAACGACACCTTGGGGAAGCCCAGTAGGGACTCCAGTCGCTGATGCCCGTAATTGATATGCTTGCAAGTCAGCTGCTGATACAGTCACTGATTGTAATAATAAAAAATGAAAGTTGCAATTGAGTGATTAATTTCAAGTAAATGAATGTAAAAATCTAAACAAACAACAAAAACAAGGACAGAAAACCCTTCAAAATTGAAAAAATATGTTTCTTGGTTTGAAAAGGTTGAATCATTGAGAATAGATATTCCTATAGTACGTAAATTTAAAACAAGGAAAAGGGACGATAATTGTGATGAGAGAAAACAAGGAAAATCTTACCGGGAACAAAAAACTGTCCATCCTGTCCTTGGGTAGTGTACTGCACAATAGTGTTACCTCCACTAGCTGCATTTGTCATCGTTAATGTTTGTAGACCCTGAATGGTACCGTCTTGAGAAGCAGAGGCTAGTTGAATGGCTGATGCTGGTACAACTTTGACATATGGACTTGAAACAGCAATTGTTGCAGCATTACTTGATTCACTAGACTCACCATCGTCTTCCGATTTTATATCAGCTATGGACGTAGACGAGCCAACATCGGCCGATGAAAGATCATTCAAAATTTTACGATAAGATGGCCTTCTTTCGAGCACTTCACGTCTTTTTTTGGATTCTTCGTCTAATAAAGGTGAAGGAGTTTGTGTTGTATGTTGAGATGGAATAAGTGTTTCCCCATGGTCACTACGTGAACTGGAGATTAGATGAACTGGTTGCATTGAATTCATTTCATTAGTTTCTGTACTTTGTATCACGGACCCTTGGCCCCCTTTATTAAAAAATATAATGTTCTTAGGAATAGAAACTGCTTGAACTGATGCTACAGCAGCGGCTGATGCTGAGGCAGCCCCACCGGTTGCTTGAATGACAGATTGTTGATTGACAGGTTGGATGACAGATTGTACTACATTAGATTGATTAGGAAGTAATTGAACAATTGAAACAGAACCACCAGGTTGGGGTACTGCTATAGTTTGTGACACAGGATTGTGTTTAACACCAGAAGGAGATGGAACTGAAGTGAAAACAACGGTGCCATTAGCAGTTCGCACTGGTAAAGATAAACTAGAATTTACTGTAGATCCAGATCCGGTAGCTGATGCTAAGGTAGATGATGCACCTCCAGTTGATGGTGATACAGTAACAACTGATCCTGTTGATGTAGTCGATACTCGATCAAGGCTTTTAAGGGACGTGATTATACTTTCGTTTGAACCATCCCTCTCTCGACGGCTATCCGCAGTTGATGTGATTACTTCTTCTTCGTCAACCGACGAATCCATCTAACAGGACTAAAATCCAGATAGAAGGAGAATTTATTGGTCAATTTGGATCATTCAAAATTTAAAAAATCAAACAATTAAATATAACAACAAATCTCTAACTTGTCTAGATTTATCTCTTATCAATTCACCAACATGGCGTCACAATTTGAGCCATGAGGCGAGCGCCATCTAGTGCTAACATAACCCATAACAGTTTATAACCGTTTTCAAGGTCAGTGATAAGACCTTCATTAGTCAAGTTTTCTAGTGATTCCAAGGTTTGATTGTTGAACATGGCTTCAACAATTTTTATTACATATTCTCAGATACAGGTAGACTAAAAGCAAGAAAATAAACGAGTACTGATACCCTGAAGCAGATAAACCTAAGATTAGAAGCACTAACTTTCAAGGTGATCGCAACATTAGAGCTAATAAAGTCTTTCATCAAATATCTTACAAAATATGTTCAGCCTAACGATCGGACTTTTGTCCCATTTTTAGTTAGCCATCGACAGTAGATACTAAATATACAGTTACGAATTGTAGTCAAAAAATGCTGATCCATAGCAATGATTTGGAATAGAGAAAGTCTTATGAATTTACTGATTGCCTGATTTAGGTAAACGTTCACCATTGATGATAAAAAGTGGTGCAGTGGACTAAGATTGCTCAAAAATCTGCAATTTAACCGTCAAATACAACTGGAGAAAATGAAAAAATTGATTTACGAGAGGAGAACACCGAAAATGTTTGGAAATACAATTATCTGAAATATATTGAAATGTGCTGGCCTATTGCTTTCATACCAATCAACTGTCAAGATCAAAACTGTCAGTCTTTGAATGGCAAAATGCGAGTAAAATGTTTCATGCTTTGAAAAAAACAAAGTTCAATATTAATCTTAATTGTCCTAATATAGAGTTGATATTTGATTTAACAAGATAATAAAAAGGATGTTCGAAATGTAACGAGGTTTGTGAGTGCTTATGATAAGGCATATTAGAAAGTTACGGCTATTCTACTGGTAAACAGTAAAAATCGAAATCAATTAAATTCAGAGAAAAGCTAAGCTCAGATTGACATCAAGATTTGAAAAAGACACGTCGGTTATTGTTTCTTTAGGTAAATTTATCATGACAAAATATTTTCAATCATCGCTATCACAATAATCATCTGTCTAATACTTAACTTTTGTTTCCTCGTCATCATATCATTATCATTTCATCCCGGTGTTTTACTACTATTGTCATCAAATCGATATTCAGATATTTCATAGAAAAGCTTTTGGTACATAAAAACTTGCATGAATTTAAGCTTCTAGATCTTTTTAGTTGGTAGTCTAATCGCAAATCAATGCGATACGATCAAAGTAACTACAACAAAGGCAATAAATTAGTCAGCAGAGAGAGGATGAATAACATGATCTAAATGAAGAGAAGACAAAACCATCAATGCTTAAAAATCTTGATGCCATAGGTATACTAAAGAATCAAATCTTCCAGAATCTTTCGGCTAATTTTTAGTTTTGAAACCTATGAATTTGTCCATGAAGTTTCGAGATTCTAGCTAATATTAGGTCTCCTTGGGTGAGTTACAAATAATTTTAGAACCATGATAGCCGTGAATTGGCCATTACCTCGATTTTGAGTAGATAGATTTATAAGCCGCAAATACATTTGGATCAAAGGAGTCCATCGGAGTATCACGTATCATAAATAAAAACGGCATGTTGTCACGAAGGCTTGTAATACGTTGTATGGCAGATTTGTAGGATGAAACATGAAAGATTCACAATAAATGGATGATGAACATTGTGTAAATTTTCAGCTAGATAGTATCAAGATGTGATCTCCACTCATCGTTGAGCGATTGTTGCCAAAATATTGCTTGTTCAATTGATGAGAAAACTTGAAGTTGTTAAGTGATCATGCATAGTCTGAGAAAATAAAGAAAAAAAAGGAAATAGTGAATTCAATGTTAGAAAATGGTAGGAAAATCACAATTTAGACAATCACAATTTTCACCCAACTTGAGACATTACAAGATGTGATACAGACATTTTAAGATGGAAAAATATTCAACTTACCAGACTTAGCTTCAATGTTTGGTTATCCAACAAGTTGACTCTGGTGGAACAGTTGATTAATTATTTTAGATTTAGAGAATATTAAAAGGTAAAATGGGTAAAGAACAAGAAGTTGTTCATTGTTGTTAATTATATCAGTGTTTCATAGAGACTGATATGAGAATAATTGGACGTCATTAACAATAGGTACAGGATGCAAATAAAGAAGACAAAGAAGTGAGAGTAAACCCAATCTCGGGTTAGGACTGACATCAAAATTACGTCAAAGAACACTCAACAGACATGATGATGATGATTTTGAGAGAGTGATGCAAAAAATAATGAAGAGTGAAGAGAAAAAATAAAGAGGAGTTTGGATAAGGCAAATAACTTGCTTTTAGTTTGAAGGATGATAACAGGATCAAAAATGAAAATAATTTGTTCTACTGTTGATGGATACTGTTCAATAAAAAAACAAAATAAAACGATATTAAAAAAAGCGAAACAATTTAAAGAAAACGAGTGAAAATTGAAAAAGTGGAAACCATGCGTCCACATGTTTTACACTACACTTAGCATTGTTAAGTCCAATTTACTTGTCTTCATCCTCTCATCGTAATCTAATCGATGGATCGTGTATATTTTATGGTAAACTTAATGGTTATCTTTTCAATTTACCTGAAATCCATTTTCAATGGTTGAGTTATCAACAGATATAAACAATGATTAACCAGGTACAGCAAAACACATTGTAAGGTTTACTCATCGGGCGTTTCAAGCGTCTCATTCTCTGTAACACCTTTATACAGAAACATTTGGCGTAAACAGATTTATCTAAATTTCTGGATCTAATGTTGATCTTAATTATTTCAAAATTCGGATCGCCCTAAAGATTATCAGTGATTCCAAAAAACTGGTAAATTTAGTCGTGAAATTATAATTTCATCTTTCTATTTTCACCTCCAGAGAAGCGTTTCACGATTAAATTTTGATTAATCGTAAAAGATAAGGCATTTAGCAGTTTTATTAAGTTGAGATCGATTAAGATCATTACTAGGATTGTTTCTGAGTTCAATTCTGTTTTCAAGGTTTGTATATAAATCAGACGAATCAGAAACGTTCACCTTTCAATCAGACTTGCGATAGCTAAACCAATAGATTTGCATCGACATGCAAATTATTTTCATCTGAATAAATTTGAAACTATTTAACTTTTTAAAGACTTGTATTGCTTGATTAATCTGGAGAAGCGTAAATAAATTGTTACAAATGAATTTTCAAATTCATGAAACTTTCATGACGTTAGAAAGCTTTTTTCGATGTATCGATTATATCATCAGGTACAGTTGAGCTAATCGATTAGATTAGTAATCGATGTCTATAATGTTTACTTTTTTATGTTATCAAATTAATTTACTTTTTATAAATTGTTTTTTACTCATGTAGACTTTTGACAAACAATTTAAACCATGGATTCTTGTGAAAAAGCTTGTGTTCTTGAAAGTTTTACCGAATTTGAAGAAGTGCAAGCATTAATCAATGAATGTATTAACTTAAACTCAACGGTTATTGATGAATCAACCAGATTGACAGTTGAATCTCTCTTTGAAACTTGGGTTAAAATTTTTGACCGCTATCAAGAACAGCCTCATCTAATTGATCGTCACATCAGCTCAATAATTTCCCAGTTGTTTGCACCAATTTATAAGCAGGCAGAATCAAAGGATGATCAATCACCTTCTATTTCTTATCATACCTCCTGTAATTTTATTTACCATGTGAGTAAGGTGCGAGGATTTAAGAATCTAATTCGCCATCTACCTCACTCGGTCACTGATTTAGAGATTGTCATTGATTTGCTGTCTAAAGAATCTATTGATAATTTAGTAACTTGGAGAACTCGTTATGTTCTGTTACTTTGGTCTTCTCTTTTGGCCACTTTACCATTTGATTTCAAAAAGTTTGATTCATCTGATGACGGGAGAAAACCGTTAATGGTGAGGTAATTACTCAATTTGTCACCATTCAAGATTACTTCCAATACTTTGTTTATCTTTTAATTTACACTAAATCTTTCCGTTCATTTTGTTACTCATTTTTTAATTTAATCTCTTCATTTTTACTCTCCATGATAGATTATATGATCTTATTAAAATTAATTTAGTGGCTGGAGACACACCAAAAGTAGCAGCCGCTGTTTCCTGTGCAAGATTCCTTACTCGACCAGAAATTTCAAAAATATACCTAGAAAGTCATATTGATTGGTGTTTAAACGTGAGTCATTGTCACTGATCTAAAAATGTTTTCATTCAACAAAACTAATTATTTTCTCGGTTAGGTTATTGATGAAATTTTCAAAGATGCAATAAGTCTCAATAATGGCATTGGAGTTCTTCTATCGCTGGCATACATCTTTAAGTTTGGTAAACGGGAAGATATTTCGCCATTCGCTCCCAAAATTTTGATGAAAATACGCGAACAAAACATTTTGTCACAATCTAAAAATCTTTTGGTAAAAATTATGATAAAAATTAACCAAAGAGCTGGTTTAAGTCTTTTGCGCATTAAAATAGCATCTTGGAGGTATCAGAGAGGTCGGCGATCCATTTTAGATAGTTTAAAAAGCAATTCATCAACAAATGAACCTTCTAAAGTGAGTTCCGATGTCAAAAAGTCGGAGAATGATGACGATTATGATGATAATTATCAAGTGCCTGAAGAAATCGAGGACGTAATTAGTGTGCTACTTGATGGTTTGAGATTTAATAGCTATATTGTCAGATGGTCAGCTGCTAAAGGAATCGGTCGTGTAACCAGTCGATTACCTCGTTCTCTGGCAGGAGAGGTAGTTTCAAGTGTTTGCGAGCTTCTCAGCCCTTCTGAAAACGATGGCTCTTGGCATGGAGGCTGCCTAGCTCTGGCTGAACTAGCTCGAAGAGGTTTAATATTACCAGACCAATTAAGTGTGGTTATTCCAGCTATAATAAAAGCTTCAGTTTATGAAGAATCTCGTGGAAACTTTTCCGTTGGAGATACAGTTCGAGATGCAGCTTGCTATGCTTTCTGGGCCTTTGCTCGGGCATATGAAGCTGATATTTTGCGACCTTATCTTAATGAGATTACATCTGCACTCTTAATAGTTGCTGTTTTTGATCGAGAAATTCGCTGTCGTAGAGCAGCATCAGCTGCTTATCAAGAAACTGTTGGTAGATTAGGGTCACAAAACGTACCTCATGGAATCGAAATATTGACAACTGTTGACAATCAAGCAGTTGGTCGAACTCGTCGAGCTTTTCTTGAGCTTAGTATGTTTGTCGCTCAATTCAATAATTACTACGAGCCTTTAATTATACACTTGATATATAAGAAGATTAACCATTGGGATCAAGAAATCAGATCTCTTAGTGCTGAAGCCTTAGCCAGTTTAATTCATTTTGCTCCCCTTGAATTGATTAGACATGTGATTGGAACTTTATTGGAAAAGACACTGAGCAAAGATTTGAGTACTAAACACGGGTCTATCATTAGCTTGGCCTGGGTAATACATTCCATGAGAGAGATGAAAATTCCTTGTCAAGATGAAATATTGGTCGGAATCCAAAAAATATCTGAAGAGATTAAATCATCGCTTGGATTCAAAGGAATCAAAGGCGAACTTTTCCGCTCTGCAATTTGTTTTTTGATCGAGAAAATTTCCCAAACAAGATTACCTCTGGATAAAGATTTCATCAAAACCTGTTGGATTGACATTCTAAAAGACTGCATTTTTCATACAAATGAGTCCATAAGGGCAGCTGCTGTTTCAGGTTTCGTAGCCTTGTACGATAATTATTTTCCTGGTGATTCGAAACTTGAAGACATTTGGATGAAACACTTAATTTACAACGCATATTCCAATCTAGAACACGTACGATGTGGAATTTTGGAAGCCTTAGGATCTTTACCTAAATCATTTATTTCTCACGATACAATTAAGATGATTTTGAAAACTATCTTGCAATCTCTTTCTTCAATTTCTGCTGATGAAAGCATATGGTTTTCATGGAAAGTAGCATCAATCAACTGCTATACTTCATTGTTAATTCAAATGAATAACAGTGATATTGAAAGTATACGTGATTTAGTTGAAAAAATTATCCATCATACCTTAAATGTTGCTATGGAAGATTATACTACCAGTAGTAAAGGAGATGTTGGTGAAGCGGTTCGAATCGCAGCTATCATTTCAATCAAAGTACGTCCATAATCTAATTCAGGCAGTTAAATCGTTAATTGACAATATTTGCTAATGTTGAATTTCATTTATTTACAGAAAATTGCACTACATTTCCATGAAATATCATGCGAAATTTTAACCAACGAGATGATTAACAAAATAATAAATCAAATTTTAATACATTGTGTCTCTCATCACAATGAAATGCGCTTAGCTGCTGGTGAAAATTTTTTCGAGATCCTTTATGGGTAATATATTTTAATTATATAATTTCTGAATTGTTTTATTAAATGGTTTTGTTTTTCTTCCATATCAACAGCCTTGGCAAACATTTTTTATTGGATGATTTGATAAACGTATTGCCAACGAAAGAGGATCTCGCCTCCGTCCATTTTAGAGATGAATCTAATTTTCCAATTTGGTTCGCAATTTTACCACTAACTCAATACTCTTACAGTCTATGGAAAGGTCTAGTAATGAGCACTGGAGGAATCCCAACATCGATTGTGAGACAAGATTTAATCAGTTTGATGATAAATGAATCAAAGAACTAAGCAGTTTTTTGTTTGTTCATAAAATTCAATTGTTATAGTCATCTTTCAATATCCGTATCTAATAATTTGTCTCATATTTTATTTCAATTTAGGTTAAACTTTCATTGGAAGCTCTCTTGAACCAGCTAAAATCAATCAAATCAAAAGATGAAGCCAAGTTTAAAAACGTTATTGATAGTTTCATTGATGTTTACAGAGATAATCTTACAGTTGAAAGAATGTGTCTACAGTTGATAAACACTCTAAACTCATTGATAAACTCTGGAATTCTGAATGATTTAGAGGAGAGTAAAGTGTCATCCTTGATTGATAAAACATGGGAGATGGCAAGAACGACAGCGATCCCCAAAAAGAAGATTGCAACTGTTCAACTCATGTGTGCTTGTCTTCGTTTTAAAGGTAATTAGATTGATTATCAACACATTGTGATGCATTAATTTTAATGTGGCAATGAAAGATGTACAAATGTTTTTTATAACATGAATGATTCTTTATTTATCGTTAATCATGCATGAAACAGAAAATATTGCTCAAGGAAGAGATAAGAGTAGGAGAAAAGATAATTGATACAAAATGAATTTCTTTCTCTCCATGATCAACAAAAGTTGTTTGATTCACCATTTGATTTCTTTTTTCTTTATTCGATGGAAATAAGAATTGTGACAGTAAAATTGAAATGTGAGGAAGGGTTTTAGACAAGGTTATAATAAGAGGTAAAGGGAAACAATTCAATCAGCCCAAATCATGAGCTTGGTCCTTGTGATACAAAATATTATAATTATATTCTTCTTGCTTTGATTCAAGACCTGTTTTTAATATTTTGTTATGGTTTTTTGCTTCATTTTGCAGGTTTACAGAAGAAATGCTTGAACATTTTATGCATCTTTTTATGCACCAAATATCCTTTTGTCCGGACAAATGCAGCAGACGAGTTGTATACAGCACTATTGATTTATGAGGACATATTTGAGGATGATGGTGGCAAAGGAGATGATCAAGTTGATGAAGAAACGAATCAGGAGAAAGCTCTCAGACTTTTGACGGAAACTGATTGGAACAAGGATAGATCAATCCTTATCCCTATTAGAGATAAATTAAAGAGCATTTTAGGCCTGCGATTGTAAAGATGTGAATGCAATTGTAATAAATCGAACTGAAAGTAGTTGATATTAACTAATTAATAGGTTAATTCGCGTCAATACATTTTTTTGGAGAGAAAAATGAATAAGATTGAAATAGAGATAAAATGGGGCAACAGTAATGTAACATACTAAGAGTTTGAAGGTTTGTCTGGTTTCTCTCTTCTTTTTTCAAGACATTTGTTGGTAGGGTTCAACATAAGTAGCTGGAAAATATCCTTTACGACCGTCAATTTCACCTTCCCACCAATTTTGATCCGAATTGTCAGTAACTGTGATAATATCACCTCGCTTAAATCCAAGTTCACCATTTTCCTGTGGTGTAAAATCATACATAGCTTGAACTAATATCTCATCTGTAGGCATCTGGATATCTCTCAATTTTATGTCTTGTGACCGAGAGACTGAGGCTGATCTATGGTATTCAATGAGCTCATTGAGTGAATTAAATTTAACAACCCAAAGGAAAAATTTTCCTTGAGTGTCGCGAAGAACTTTAAAATGCTGAACATAATCACCACATTTAACAGAAAGGGAAAAATCACTTGGTGAGCTTTCACTGACCCTTATAAGGAATGCACCTTCATGTTGAGAGATCAACAATCTTTCCGCATCAGCTCGGCTAATTCGTCCATGGTACCAATCATGAGGTTTCATTTGAATATAATTACTGGGTATTAGACCCTCTCTTCCATCAAGCTCAGCTCGATACCAATTAACATCATCTTCCATGTTTAATATCTTGAGAACATCAAATTTACGGAAACTTAATTCATCGTCAGCTGTCGCATTAAAATCATGCTTAGCAATAGCCTCCATTATTATTGTCACACAGAGATGCCACAATCAATAAACTGTTCAATACTCACAACTAAAAAAATAAACTGAATGCAAAACAAATTAAAAAAATAAACACCAAATAAAAGTGTGAAGCAAACGAAATTCAGTCTAAGTTCGTCTTATCAAAAGATGAGAAGGAACATGGCGGCGGAGTCTCAGTAGCTTGTTTTCTTTTGTCAAGATTTCATCTTTTATCTTCCACTTTCTCTCTCTTTCTCACCCTTAGGGAGGTGCATCTTTTATGGCGCTTCAATTGAAACTTTTACCATAGCCATTTGTACGTTTAAATAATAATTATAAAACATTCTGTTAATCAATTAGTTAAAATTAAAAACATAATCAATCAAATGAAATTGTATGAAACCAAACAGAGTGACATTCCCATAAACGATGTTAGAAAGTCTGTAACCTAAAACCAATGCCAATCAATCACCGATTAGATTACATTGTAATATTTATCAAGATGTAATTATGTTTTGAATAATAATTTAATTATTAATTAAACACATAAACTGACTACATATCTGATAAAGTCTCAATGTATTTATGCAAAATGTGTTAAAATGATGAAGAATTATCGCATTCATTCAATTTGTAGTCTAAATGGGAAGGACATCATTTATGTCTTCATCTAACCTGCGAGCTTACGAAGTGGTAAACGTTTACAATTTTGGTAGACCGGCAACAATCTCGTCTTCAATTCCACATTCATCATTTCCTCGTTTGATCTTGAAGTAACCTGTTACAAACGTCGAAACAATACAGTTAACTATTGTTCAATTTTATCGAGTAAAGATAAGAAATATAATATTATATTGTTAGCTACCTTTGTTACCCCAATCGGTGTTCCAGGAGTTGGCAACAAGCCAATAGTCAACACCGTTTTCAGTTCCCCAACCAAGGATTCGAATAGCATGGCCACCAAGTACATCATCCGAATGTCTTTGGTAAACTCCTAATTATCCGAAGAAAAATTAAATGTGTGAGAATGGGTGAAAAATTGAATTATGCGAATTAAGAAATGATCAAAACAAACCTGATTTGTATGTTGGGAAATCAGAGTAAACGGTAAAAGCAGCTGTTACAGGACCATTAGTCATGATTTCTTTCATGATTTGTTTAGGGTCAGATGAAACCGAATAAACCTTTTTACCATAATGTTTGTCCTGTGTAAATGACTTTGAGTAGCCTGAAACACACTCTTTAGAGCATTGAGGAGTATCTTGTTCAGTGCAAGCAGGTCGAGGTCCTTTTACATGATGTTCACATGGAGCAATTGAGTAGGGTTGGCATCCTTCACCTTTGTAAAGACCACCAGAAACAACACCATTACTTTGCCAATACTCCCATGCAGCCATAGGATCACCACCACTACATCCATCACCACAAGAGTCACAACAGTCAAGTACTTCTTCAGCTGAAATTTCAACTTGAACTGATCCCTTTGAAGCGATACAAATCCTGTCAGACATGGCTTCAACTGAACCAAAAGCCCAACAAGAACCGCAACTTCCTTGATCACGAATGAAGCTGATTGAACTACAATTTGGCCAAGCTGTTCGAGCATCGAAACTTGCCGGTAAATCTCCATCGATTTCGTGATAAATTTGAGGTAATTTGCGTCCACTCTTTCTTGCTCCAAGAAGCCTTTTTACGTGTTCAATTGGTAAATCCTCAAAGTTTCTACCAGCCTGAAAATTATTACGAAAATTATTGATAGTAAAATAATAAGATTTCAAGAGAATAATTTACTCACTTTCCATGTTGTTCCGAGTGAATTGATTTTGTTGATCATTTCATCAGACATTGGATCCAACCCTGATTCAAGGAAGAGACGTTGGTTCGCTCCATAAGCAGCACCAAGTAGAGCAACGAGAACGATTAAAGACTTCATTTTGCTGAGTTTAAACTACAACAAACGATAATTTGTTTAGTGAATCGGTTGATGTGTTCATAAAGCTTTTATACATTAAAAACAATGATGAATATAGATAATTTTATAATGAAATGATTTATCACCAACAATTGTTTCATATTTCCTGATTTTTGACCTTCTCATAATCAAACGATGTCTGATAACTCTCCATAACTCTCCGATAAGCCTTTATGAGATGTTAGGCAAATGCTTAATCTATCATAATCACTAATTGTAATCATTAGGAAATAAACAATTATTTCATCAATTTATTCATAATCAGAACTAAATCCAGTTACTTCTAATCATCATAATCTCAATGAGTCAATTCTTGTTGAAATGAGACTGGGAATCGTGACGGAGTTTATTTATCACTGATGTATCATATTGTTATCCTGATGCAGATACGTTTGTTTCTTTTGCTCTAAGGTTATCTTTATTAACCTCACACGGGATGTCCAAGGTCTGATCAATTGATATCGAGAATTCATTGGTAGCTATCGGTAGACTAGACCTTCTCGAAGACCAATACAGCGAAATTTGCTACCCACCTTTCGATTTCGGCATTTTATCGTTTTTTTAGAAAAATTTGTATACTTTTCTATGAGGATTTGTATTCGTTTTTTATTGAAGTGCACTTTTTATTGCACAACAATAAAATTTATTGGGTGCATCTTATATCTTATATCAGTTTAATCGTAACTTTTTCATTTACATCGTTTTAGAAAGGATGACAGGGAAGTCCACAGTGGACAAAATTGAAGTTTCTAGAAAATTTAGATCCTAAGATGGCCGGCCTAAAATATGCACAGCTCACCAGTTCAAACTTTCAATCGACTTATTTCGATTTAAACGTCTTAAGCAGGGTAATCTTGATGAGTCAGTTACTGAAGATAGTTTATAGAGTTTAAATTGAAGCCATGAAGCGATTAACTATTTTAACTCAAAGCGATCAGAGTGGTATAAGAATAGAAATTGTTGAATATTGGAATATACACTCCTGGCAATAAGTTTGAGGACAGTAGTTTTTTTTGAATAATTTTTCTGTGAAATGATTGCTTGTTTACTGGTTAGTATCAATTGAAAGTCGATGAAGAATTACGTATTTTAAGTTAAAAAATTAGGTGATTAGGTGTAATTAGATGAAAAAAACACGAAAATTCGAAAAAAATTGAAAATTGATGAATTGGTTGAGCACTGATTGATGGTAACTGAGTGAATGGATATTTCTGAGTGATTCTGACCATATTCAACCATTTATTGTCATCTGGTGCCGACCTGTTAGAGATTAAAATTCTGTCCTCATAATTTTTGCCATATGTTTAAAACGTATTTTCGATTTTTAATCCAATCAATACTTATTAGCCTTCCAAGTCGCATGATTTCTGACTCAAAATTTCTTAAAATTTAATAATCTAAGAAAAAAAAATGGATTAGCCCACTAATTGGATCAAATAGTTGAAATATTCAGAAAAATCTGCTGTCCTCAAACTTATTGCCAAGAGTGTATAATTCTATCGGTAAGATAATCTTAATCTATAACCGTAATCTTAGATTAGCTTTAATTAACAAGAGGAATATATAAATGGCCCAATTGGCATTCGAGAATTCATTTCAGTTCGAGTTTTTGTAAATCTAGTTTCTTTTTCGAAATTTCTCAAATAACCAAACTCAATTTTACTAACTTCGATTCAGTCATTGTTTCCCCAAATGATTCGGTTCTCGGTTTGCAGTATATCATCGATTCCAAAACTTATCCCCGATGAACATCCAAAAAAGTGTATTAAGCCTGATTGTGATGGAATGATGGTTCTAAGTGCTATAAAACTATCAATGTTAGGGAAAGATTTTGTTTGTAGGAAGTATAGGAAACAAATAAATTGGACGAAAGGAACTATCTTCGAAAGCTGCAAATTGACAATTTTTACTAACCTAAAACTCATCTTTTGTTGGTGTCTAAACAAATCAATCAAAGTTACATCAATGGATCTAGGGATCAATGAGAAAACTGTCTCACAGCATTTTCAAATGATAAGAATGGTAAGTAAATTATGACAACTATTTTAAATATTTTTTAACTATTTTTGCTGCTTTGCATAGGTATGCTACAATATATTGAATAAGAATAAACAAATGTTAGATGGTACGGGTAAAGTAGTAAAAACGATGAGACTATGATATATAAACGCAAATACAATAGTGGACGCTTATCGTCAAATCAAAAAAGACAAGTTTGGATCTTTGGCGGTATAGAACGGGAATCGAAAGCAAAATTCGCAGAAATTGTTGACAAAAGGGATGAAAAAACTCTGATTGATGTAATTAAAAATAACATTTTGCCAGGAACAACAATTTACCCCGACTGTTGGAAAAGCTATAAGAATTTAGACCAATACAATTTCTACGCTTATGATACTGTTAACCATTCTAAGAATTTTCTTAACCCTAATAACAAAAATGTCCATACACAGAATATTGAGAGACAATGGAGATCACTGAAAGATCATGTACCGAAGTCATCCAATGGACCGAATAGAGATGATCATTTGATCTAATTTTTATACAAATCAAAGTATCATAACAAAAATGAACCGACTTTCAATTTTGAAATAACCTTAAAACATCTTCAAAAAATCCATTTTCCATGGATCAACTTGTTTTATTTGATTATGCTGACTGATATTCCTTTCTCTTGTTAATTAAAGCTAATCTAAGATTAAAATCAAGTTAATTGTCGACTAAAGTAAGTTGTTTTGTAGTTTTCCGAAGCTCCCACCAGTCTTAAGCCGAGTCAGATGCATTGGCTTAGCTCGAAAAATAGCCATACGGATGTTTCTACCCCTTACAATTCTATCTTAATTGCGTTGAATTTTTTAAAATTTTTTTTTATTTTTTTGGACACTTATATGAAAGGCAGAAAACTATTTTCGCCTAAAATAAGAATTTATGAGAGAAATGATTTAGATGTATTTTTGCATGAAAAGACCCATTCTGTTTGGCTGTGACTCATAGTTGCGAAAAATGGCTTTAAATCTGCACCATGAGTAAATGCCTATTATAATTTTAATAATCTTTTGTATAAAATATATTTAGTTTTTTGGTTTTTTAGTTTACTGGTCACTCTCGTCTCCAATTTAATTTACCAATAACTTGAATCGAGGTAAGCGATTTTGATGGTACTTAAAAGCTTCGCACTATAAGATGGAGATCAATTCTTCGGCAATCCGAACGGAGATCCGTAATTGCCTGATTCTCTAACGATACAGCTGCTACAAATGCTCA